AAAATAAGTTAAAATTAATCGAAATCGTATGGTAGATTATAATTTAAATCAGTTAATCCATTTAGTTAACCGAACTTGTCTCACACAATGATTTCAACAGCTAATGAATGCTTGATATCCGATTACACATTTATGATCATGTATCTACATCCTATTTTCATAAGTACTGTTAGAGCCAAGCTCCTAAGCTCCTAGAAGTAGTCACACTTCACATTTACATAGGTAGCTCCCATCAAGAGTGTTTACATAACTATAACACTCTAACATATATATGTTATGAGTCTATTAAGAGTATATTGCTCATTTTTTTTTTACCATTACAAGTACCTAGCACTTTACCTGGGATGATATTAAACATTACTATAGTGCTAGCAATCACATACAAATTATGTACTTTATCTCATTGAACTCAAGATTTAACGTTATGTCAAGCATTAAGTCAAGTTTTTATTATGGGTGACTTTACTTCATGAGCTTAAGCTCCATCCCTATTAAGGTTTTTTTACCAACTTTCTAGCAAAACTTTTGATTAAAAGATCTGTCAAGTTTTCACTTAACCTCACATAATTTATAGTGATCACTCCATCTGAAATTAATTGTCGAACATATCTATATTTTAATCCAATATATCTAGACTTTCCGTTATAAACTTGTTTATATGCTTTTATTAGAGTTGTTTCACTATCACATCGGATAGAAATTAAGAAAATTGGTTTAGGCCATAAAGGTACTTCATATAATAAATTTTTTAGTCATTCAGCTTCTTTAGCTGTTACGGGTAATGCAATAAATTCAACTACCATGATAGAATCCATTATGCATGTTAATTTCTTGAAACCTTAAGAAATGGCACCCCTACCAAGTACAAAGATCCACTCGTATGTAGATGTATGATATTCATATTAGTAATCCAACTAGCATCAGAATATCCTTCTATAACTGAAAAATATACACTATAACACAATCCATAATTGATTATTTTTTTCAAATATCGAAGTACTCTTTTAACTGCTTGCTAATGCAAGTTACTTGGATTACTTGTGTACTTACTCAACTTTTCAACAACAAATGATATGTCTAGCCTTGTACAAGTCATTGCTACATTAGACAACAAATTACTCTTTCATATTGCAACTGATCGATTATTCTACCAATATTATATACTAATTTTAGTTGAAAATCCATGGGTGTAGATACTAAAATACAATTGAAAAATATCAAACTTTTTAAGTATTTTTTCAAAATAATGTGATTGTGACAAGGTTATGCCACTATCATTCCAGATTATTCTAATTTCAAGAATAACATTTACTACACCTATATATTTCATTGAAAAGTTATTTGATAAAATTTTTTTTGTTTCCTTAACTTATTCTGAATCAATGCCAAATATTTGCATATCATCCATATATAAGCAAATTATGGCTAATTTGCCATCTTCAAATTTGCTATATATGCATTTATTTGACTCATTAATTCTAAAACCATTAGCAAGAATGATTTCATCAAACTTTTAGTGCCATTGTTTTGGTTCTTGTTTAAGTCCATACAAAGATTTTACAAGCTTACAAACTTTATGCTCTTGACCTAGAATGATAAATCCTTCTGGTTTTTTTCCATATATGCTTCATCTTCTAATTCACCATTAAAAAATACTATCTTTACATCCATTTGATATATAATCAAATTATAAATTGAGGCAAGTGAAATTAGAAGCCTAATTGTAGTAGTTCTAGCTACTGGAGCATAAGTATCAAAGTAGTCTATCCTTTACTTTTGTGTAAACCCCTTGGCTACCAACATTGCTTTAACTTTATCTATGGTTCCATCCGTACTTTTTTTTTTTTGAAAATCTATTTACAGCCTATTGGATTAGAACCTAATGGAAGGTCAACTAAAATCCAAATGTTATTTCCCATTATTGAATTCATTTCATCATTTGTTGCTTCTCTCCAAAAAATAAAATTTTGAGACTTCATTGCCTCTTCATATGTAACAAGATCATATGCCACATTAAAACAATAAAGAATTTATTGTTTATGCTTTTCCCAGTCCCTTCCACAAGGAATATAAAGAAATCTAGTCCAAAATCTTTTACTTTCTAACCTTTTTACTTGTCTTTATTCTTGACAAGATTCATCACTAATTTCAGTTTGTTCTAATGGATTTGAAATTTTTTTCCACTTATAGGATGAATTGCTTGCAGTTGTCTTGAAATAGATTTAAATCTATTTTCATCAAAAGTTGCATCTTTTAATTTAATAACAGTGTTAACTGAAATTGAATCATTTGGTTCAATAACTATGAACCTATATGCTTTACTATTTTGTGTATATCTTATAGATATGTACTCTATTACTCTTTCACCTAACTTTTTCTTTTGGGTTTTGAAATTTTAACTACAACTTTACATCTTCAAACCTCTAAATAATTAAGATCTAGTTTTTTGTTCTTTCATTGCTCATATAGGGTTATTTTTGCTTCTCTGTTAGGATTCTATTTAGTATATAACAAGTTGTTAATAAAGCTTTACAGTAAAATCCTTGTCTAAGATTAGAATATGATAATATTGCATTTACCATTTCTATTAAGACCTTATTCCTTCTTTCAACTACACCATTCTATTATGGTATATAAGGAGCAGTAACTTAGTGGATTATTCTAGTGGATTCGAGTAACTTGGACTATAATATTCCCTACCCCTATCCGACCTCAAGCACCCGATAACAGATTCACATTGAAGTTCAACTCCAAATTTATATATTTTAAACTTATCAAGTTTTCATTTTTGGATATAACATATAAACGTAACAATATCTAGTATAATCTTCTATAAATGTGACAAAATATTTCTTTTAAAATAATGTAGGAGTGCTATGTATATTACAAACATCATTGTGAATTAACTCAAATAACTTTTTATTTGTTTTAACCTTAGGAAAATGACTTATGGTAATCTTAGTCAATATGCATGTATTATATTTTCTAATGTCTTAACTAAATTCAGGAATTAATAGAAGCTTGCTCATATCATGTAATTTTTTATAATTTAAATGACCTAATCTATAATGTTATAAGTATGAAGATTCAACTATGTAAGCAAAAATAACATTTTTAATTTTATTTTTATTAATAATATTGAGTTTGAACATTCCCTCATACATATACCTTTTTCCAACAAAAATTTCTTTCTCATACAGAATAAATTTATCTGTCTAAAATACAAGTTTAAAATCAAAATTGTTCAAGAGACTTTTAGACACTAAGTTCTTCCTAACTTCTGGTACATAATAAATATCATTCAATATTATAGTTTTTTTAGAAGTAAATTTAAGGTCAACAATCTCTTTGCTTTTGATTATTGCTATAAAAGAATTTTTCATGTAGAGGATACTACCATAATCACTTGGTTTGAATGTTGTAAACATGTTTTTGTCATTGCACACATGTTTTGTTGCCCTAGAATCAACCCACCAAGATTCATCATTTTCAAGCATGTTGATCTTGGAAATCATGGCAACAAATTTTTCAAAAGTATCCCCTTTTAAGGAATCATTTTTTTTCTGTAGCAACTGACATTCTTTCTTGAAATATCCTAGCTTACCATAATGGTAATATAAGCCTTTCTTATTCTTTTTGAATATGGGCCCATTAACAATCTGCATGGACTTGAATTTCTTTTTATCAAGCTTTGTAGTCTATATTTTCTCTAAAATATGAACTTTGGCATCACTAGAATTGGAATTCTATTCTTGCTTTTTGTATTCTTTTTCAATTCAAAGATGATTAACCAAAGTCTCAAGAGTGATTTTTTTTTTTGTTTTATGTTTCAAACTTCTTTTAAAATCCTTTTATGATGGAGAAAGTTTATCTATTACAAAGGACACAATAATTGTTTCATCTATATTCATATTATATTGTTTAAACTAATTAAGCATTCTTTCAATTTTACGCAATTATTCAATCACAAAATGCTCATCAACCATATAATAATTATTGAAATAACTAATGAGAAATTTTTTACTTTTTGCATCATTGTCATATATTTGGTCTCCAATTTATCCCATAACTCTTTTGCAGTAGTCTCATTTTGGTATGTATCAAACATGCTATCAAATAGACCGTTTAGAATATGACCTTTACACATATAGTCTGCATTATCTCATTTCTACCTCTATCTTGTTGCAATAATAGATTCTTTTATTTTATTTTCTTTTAGCTTAGGAATAGTCGAAACATATACAACTTTCAAGGTTGAAAGCAGGAAATACATCTTTTTCTGCCATCTTTATAAATTGCCACTAATAAAATGATCCAATTTGACAAAACTATAAGTCAATTACCTGAGCGTTGCTTCAATAGTTATTGTTGAACTGAATAAAACCTTAAGATTGTTAGAGCAACACTAAAAAACTTAAATTATTACTTCTGGTAAGTCTGAAATTTTAAGAAAAAGCTCTAAGACGTGTAATGATCCACTTTTTTTAAAGTTTTATTTGCCTCCGTCGTATTATTTATTTAATATGTGTACAAAAAGGTTACAAGCAATAAACCTTGAGGATATAATGAAGCCTAGTAACTGATTGCATTTTGCATTGACGAAATCAATCTACCGAACAATCACCGATGTATTACAAGATCGCTGAACTTTTATAAAGATTTTCTGCAGCAAAACTTTTATAAAAGAAATCTAGAGTTAAAAAAAAAAAAGGAGAGTTTTAAGAATTATTTCTGTATATTTTCAAAAAACTAGAAGAGCCTTTTATAAGCGGATAAATATAATTTTCTACAAACATGATTGTTTATTTTGAATAAATAAAAATTATTTATTTTTAAATAGTTAAAACTGTTCATTTTAAACTAATTTATCTTTTTATTTTAAATAGATTTAATTATCTGTCTTTATTTTTTTCTAATATGTGATTATTTTTAATATTTTATTTTGAAAATCCCTATCAATCCCGAAGTTAATAGATCATGTAAATCTAGTGATTTCAACTGGCAATGTTATCCTCATCTAATTGTCATCAGCAAATGTAAGCATAAATAGGTGCAGAAACTCTAAAGTTCTGCAATGTAAGAAAACCAGTATCCCTGCATATTCCGTTTTCCATGGCCGGCAGCAAGCTATTACTGACAGACCTCGCATCTACAGTTAAACAGGTGCCTTACAATTACGTCAGACGAATTTCCGAGCGTCCAAATCTCTCTGATGTTCAGGTATCAGATGTTTCCATTCCTCTGATCGACCTGCAAGACCTCTACGGTCCCAACCGCTCCGATATTCTTAAACAGATTGCGCTGGCATGCCAACATGACGGTTTCTTTCAGGTACCGATAAATTCCATTCTTTGTATTGATTGTAGTTATTTCTTGCTACCATTCTCGTTCTTACAGGTTTAGTTATTTACTCTTATCAGGTGAAGAACCATGTGATTTCAGAGGTTATGATCAATAACATGCTGCACTTAGCTAGAGAATTTTTTCAATTACCTGAAAGTGAGAGGTTGAAGAATTATTCTGACGACCCTTCCAAGGCTAACCGCTTGTCAACTAGTTTCAATGTTAGGACGGAGAAGGTTGCCAACTGGAGGGATTTTCTGAGACTCCATTGCTTCCCTCTCGAAGATCACGTGCATGAATGGCCTTCAAATCCGCCATCCTTCAGGTTAATAATCATAACAGACCATTTTGATTATACAGTGCATAAACCAATATTTTCATCGTTCTAACTATGATTGAATTTGTCAAATCTTTCTTTTGACAGGGAGGATGTGGCTGAGTATTGCACTAGTGTTAGAGGTTTAGTGCTAAGACTGCTTGAGGCCATATCAGAGAGCTTAGGCCTGAAGAGGGATCATATAGAGAAGACATTAAGCAAGCATGGCCAACATATGGCTATAAACTACTATCCACCCTGTCCAGATCCAGAACTTACATATGGGTTGCCGGGCCATACTGATCCTAATTTAATAACTATTCTTCTTCAGGATGACGTGCCAGGATTACAGGTTTTAAGAAATGGCAAGTGGATTGCCGTCAATCCTATTCCCAACACCTTCATTGTCAACATCGGTGATCAAATACAGGTGAATTTTACATGCCTTGTTCAACGAAACAAAATATTTGCCAAAATTGGACTAAAAGTTAATGAAAATGGACTGGCTGAATTCTGATACATGTTAGACGGTGTCACTTAGCATCCAGTTTATCAGCCTGGAAGTATACAAGTTTCCCTTTGATCTAGTATTTAACTCCATCATCCAAAAGATGCATTCAAACCGTGAGAAAAATCACATAACAGTTCCTACAATTAGGCATTTGGCAGAAGAGACCGGAGTACTCTCCAAAGAATGAAATCAAACCTCCTAAAACCACATGGTTGTTTGGCTTTTGGCCTAACGCAAAAAATCGTCCCGCTCTTGGAGAATATTATAGCTTGTGTGGTCCAATTTTTGTCAAATTCTTTTATAAAGATTCAAGTAAACAGAGTTCAAGTTTGAATTTTGACACTTTTTTAAAGAGATACTACAAATCTACAATTAGCGCTAAATTAAATTCAAGCTATTTTCACCTTAGATTAAAAAAAAAAAAACCGTATCTTGTTTGGTGGTCATAGCAGTGTAGGTAGATGCAGGACGTAAGGATTGAATTGTGACTGTGACTTTTCACCGAAACAACAAAGCGACCGCTGCCTTGGAAGGACATAAAGTAGTAATGATGTTCTTATTTTTACAACAGGTAATTAGCAATGATCGTTACAAAAGTGTGGTCCATCGAGCTGTTGTGAACTGCAATAAAGAACGAATATCCATCCCTACCTTCTACTGTCCATCACCTGATGCTCTGATTGGTCCGGCTACGGAGTTGGTCGACGATGAGCACCCTGCAGTCTATCGAAGTTTTACCTATGGTGAATACTATGAGAAATTTTGGAAGAGGGGACTTGCTACAGAATGCTGCCTAGACATGTTCAAAACTTCAATAACTTAAATCTGTTGTCAAGATTTCATATTTCACATTAAAGTTGAGATTCTAACAGGTTGTCTTAGTTGTATTTCAACTTTCAAAATATATTTTACTGAAGCATCTTTAATTAAGTTAGATTGTGGCATTTCACCATTTGGTATACAATTCCATCTTTACAAAATGCAAACATCTTCAAACAGGAAAATGAATATTCGGATCCAATGAATTAGCGATAAGTAATTGATTAAAATATATCTAGATATACTCCTTGACAAAAACACCTTTGTTTAGAGAAAGTCAAGCAGTCAACCCGAACGTGGCCTTCAATTGACAATTTCACATTGAAACTGAACCAAATATTCATCATTTGTGCGCGTATGATGTCAATGCTCTGATGGTTAAAATTTAAGAATTTAAACAATCAAAGGTTGAATCTTCGTCTGTAAAGCAAATATTAAAACTCAAAATGGATGCAAAAGGGTGTCAACTTCGGTCAGACAAGATCTTCAACTGACGTTTTCTTATCTTGTACTGTTTGAATTCAAGACATTATGAACTTCAAGGAAAGCCAACAAGCGAGAACCTCTACGGATGAAGAAGACAAACACGGCCGGCAGTATGCCATGAAACTGTGTAGCGCATCGGAGATGCTTATGGTGTTGAAACAACTGTTCAACTTGGTGTATTTGAGATACAGAAGGCTGGTCCTGCTGTGTGTGCTTTCTCTTTTCCTGATTGCATCCCAACTTCCTTCTCAAAGTAATCAGTTTGCTCCTTTGATCCTTGATCATATCCACCGGCTTCTAGTCAGTCACTCCATCCTCACGTTCTCTCTCGAAACTAACCACCAGGAGGATGGCCGGATTGTTAGGCTATATAATTTGGCACCTGTTGCCAAATACTTCATTAGAGCCCAGATGGAGGACCTTGTCTCCTTTGTTTATATCAGAACAAAGCCGTTATAGATATCTGGTAAAGCACTTCGATAATGCCTATTGCCTCCATTGTTTAAATAACCGCTTAACATGTCGTTGCTTCACTTTTCCAAAAACATCATGGTGTAATCGAACCAGGTACCCATTGAAAGCTGCAGTCCAAGAGGGGGGGGGGGGGGGGTGGATTCCATTTAACAGGGCACTTATGGGTGAATGCCGTTAACGTTGGGTGTGTGGGCAAGCATACGATATTTGGAGTAATCTTCAAGGGCTATGTGGAAGAGAAGTTGAAAAGCTACAAGCGTTTCTAGGACTTTAATTCCCTGGCAGATGGCAGTGGCAATGGTTCTATTCCCCACAGTCCACAGGATCGTTTCCGAGTGACATGCCTTTAAGGGTGTTAATTTTGATTTGCCCCGTATTATTGAGAAGTCACCCTCCCATCCTGGTATGATCATGATACAAGTAACAAATAGTGAAATTCACAGAGCAGATAATATTAACTGCTTTGCTTTCTTTGCACAGCTCTCTTCAAAACATTCCATAGAACCTTTAATTCATCATTTCCGCTGCTTACTCATATTTGTCACATCTATTTCCCTTAAACAGAGTCCGTGACTCCGGGCTGAGCTCCTTAAACACCTTCATTTATTTGGCTCTGATTCGAGCTACACGAATTAAAAGAAATAGGGAAAAAAATCAGAGTTTTCCCTCTACACATTTACATACTAGACTAAGATAAATCGGCAGAAGATATAGCTAATGCCATTTTTAATTGCCCATTAATCAATATCTTAAAACTAAAAAAGCAAACAACAGTACGCTTACAAAACTTACTGCAACGGATTTACTGGCGCTCTATCTGAATAGTCACATGACTTATATTGTATTCTCTCCTGATATAATCTATAACCTTGTTCAATACCATGTCAGCATCAGCTTCACGCTTAATTAAGACATGGCAAGCTAATAAAACCTTACCAACAGTTATGGCCCAAATGTGCAGTTCATGTACGGCAACAACCTCATCCATCTCACATAAACCCTTCTCAAGCCTTGTGGCATCAATTTCCCGGGGTGTGCTCTCCATAAGAACTTCCAAAATATTTCGCAGCATCCTGATGGTTGTTCCCAGCACAATAACAGAGAATACAAGGGTGCACATCAGATCAATATATTTCCACTCAGGCTTGTACCAAATAATCGCTCCACCAATCATCACTCCAACACTCTGAATGGAATCCCCTAGGACATGAAGATAAGCTCCTTGAACATTGATGTTTCTTTCCTTCTTCTGAGGTGCTCCACTTTCTGATTTTTTTTCACAATCTGAGTAGGTCTTAAGCAGAGGCTCAGCATGGTCAGCTTCATGAGAATGATGATGCTCATCATCAAGTTTAGAGTTCGAGCCATGATGATGGTGAGAAGTTATACTTAGTCCATGATTATGTGGTTCACCGTCATGGCTATGACTGTTATCATGGTGGTCATGACCATTCTTGCCATGTGCATGATTATGGTCGTGGCCATGGTGATGGCCATGATCATGACCCAACAAAAGAGCCATAGCAATATTAACCACTAAACCAAATGCAGAAACCATGAACATCAGAAAGCCTTGAACTTCACCTGTACCATGGATAAGTCTAACTATGGCTTCATAAACAAGGATGCCAGCTAAAAGCCATATCATCTGAATGGAAACAAGGGCACCGAGGATTTCAATTCTGAAGAATCCATAAGATTGACGTGGAGTTGCCTCCCAGCCAGATGCCCAAAGAGAGAACAAGGAGATCGCAAATGCTGCAACATCTGACAAGAGATGAGCTGCATCAGTTAAGATTGCAAGACTGTTGGCTTTAATTCCTCCAGCTACTTCTACACTCATAAAGAGAATGCAGAGCACTACTGCCATCAAAAGCTTCCGCATAGAGGCTGTTCGTTCTTTTGCATCTTTTGAACTGCTTTGAGCATCAGAAAACCCACATACTGCACCTCCACAGATTGTACTTCCACCCAGGTTTATCTCTGCAGCTGGCACATCTCCACATATTTCAATTATATGCCCTGGTTCAGAATTTTGCACTTCCATCTGAAAACAATATAAACAACCACAAGGAAGTATAATTTATCAAATTCACAAACAGTAGAACAAAAATACAAAATGAATTGAGTGAATCAACAAAGTAATTAAGACAGATTTAAAGTCTTGTGCCAACAAAATACTGCAATATTTTCACTATTACAAAACCTTGCCATATCCCTCGTCAACCCTTCCATTTTCTCTTAGCCTTCTCCTTTCCCACTCTTTCCCATCATATGATTAAATGGTACCTTGACCATATAGATGTTAAGTAAAAGTTTTCAGCACACATCCCAAAACAATTTCATTAAAAAGTGCCAAAAATTGCAATCCTACCCACAGATTTATGTATTAGAGGAATCAAGAAACAGTAAATCACCATCTTCAGCATCAAGTCATTGTAAATACTAAAGTTTGCAGGGAAAATTGCAGAGATGCAGGTGATAGGCAAAAGGGGTACCATTGATAGGAGAGTTGCACGTTGCAATGCAGATAATTTTTTATCATGGAGATTACTTTAAAGGGGCATTAGCCTGAATGCTTGACTTCCTTTAAAACTCTATCTGATTCAATGCATATTGCATTAGTGTTTCTCTTTCATTAAAAAGACAGCCATACATGTTTAGTCTTAAAACCCTTTTACTAAGACGGGGAAAAAAAGAGAAAAGACAGGCTTTATTGCAGTCTCTAGATTCTAGAATAATAAAGAATAACTTCTAAGAAACTCAGCAGCATGCATCACAATTGCAGTCCATATCTTATTTGGGTTAGCAAAAACTACACAAGACAATTTACTACACATTTTTACACACACGCATGCATGCATAGAAATGTACACCCACAAATATACTTGTATGTATACATGTAAACATATAGACGTATACTTATATTTATATATGATTGTAGCAGTTTTAAATTCTAGAATCAAACAAAGATAAGCAAAAATTCCAAAGGTGATTATTCAGAATCAATTGCAAGGGAAAAAAGTTACTTATTACTACATTAAAATTAAGGATTTTCAAAAGAATCAGTTGAGTAATTAAATAAAAGAAAATGGAATTACCTTCTGTATTTGCTGGTTCGTTCTCGCTTTCGATTACTGCAACCTACTCCGACGACTAAATCCCTAAACACAAGGTAAAAAAGGTTAAATTTTTGTCTTTTTTTTTTTCTTATTACAGAGATACGATAACGATGAGAATGAGAAACCGTTAAAAATTACTTACATAGTTTTACATCGCTGTTCTAAGAAAAACCGGTTTGTCCGGAGACTTTGAAAAACTTACCTTTAACACAATCGTTTTTTTTTTTTTTTTTAACGATCTGGGAAAAGTGGGAATTAAGGGGGGAAAAAAAAACCAGATGCCAGACATATTCAACGCGAAAAGAAAAAACTTCAAAAAAAAAAAAAAGAGAAAAAAGGAAGTACCTTTAATTGGAGGAATCGTTGAGGTTCTGAAAGAAGCAGTGGCGATGGCTCCACCAAATTGAGAGGTTAATTGCAATAAAAGTAAAAGGCAGACAGATGGAAGGAACAGTAAGTATTTATTTTACAGATTGAAGAGCGGAGATTGGAGTAGACGTAGGTATCACAATCTTAGCTTCACAGATTTGCTGTCTCTTTCTCCGTCTTTAGGGTTCGACAAAAGAATTTGTATTGTTTTTTTTTTTGGGTTTTAATTTATTTTTCTTATCATGTTTACGATTTTGAGTATTGAATCCTTTTGTTTTATACTCATAACTCATTCATTGCCTATCATGAATTTTTCGGTTTTGTCCTTTTACCCCTCTCTTAGCCGCCTTTTCCTCTTGGGATTTTTTTGTAATTTATGTTGTAATATTTTTTTATTGCTAATTTTCTACGGTAATGTTCTTACTCTTACGATTACGATGACATAAGTTTTTAATTATAAAAAATTTTTAAAAATAATATTTAATAATTTTAAATTTTAAATTTTAATATACATTATATTTTTTTTATTGTCAAGCCATAACCCTTTTGTAAAAATAAAATAAAATTTTAAAGATAGTTTTATCCTTTCTTTTTTTAAGAGAAATTTAGAAATTTAAATAAAATAAAATATAATTTCAACGTGATATCATAATAGAAAATTTCAAATTACAAGTTATTCAAATGACGAATTTCAAATTTACAAATAAGAAATTTTCTAAAACTCAATATAGGACCAAAGTATGTTTTGTATATTCATATTTCTTAAACTTTTATTTAAAAAAAAAAAAAAGGTAAAAGTTGTGCTCCTTTATCAAAAGAAGTAGTACTATTAATTAATAATAAGGTGGCTGAAATGTATCAATGTTGGTCAGAATAAAAATAGAAAATTTTTCAAGACCGGATAAGGAGAAATCGTGCAGAAAATTAAAGCAAACAAAATGACAAATTTGAAGCTTTTTCATTGATGGTGGCTGACACCAGTCATGTCATGCGGACTCCAATTTGGAAAATGGTCCAATTTTTTTTATATTCCGTCACATTTCCCATGTGTCTAAAGGTCAGTCAACAATGGTGAATCTCTCTTTGTCAATATGTATTAGCCACCTTGTGACGAGCTTCATATGAATGAAACACCTAGTTTCTGCTCTCAACTTTCTTTTCATCTTATTTTGGCCTTACTCTTCTTCATAATTCTAATTTACATTTCAAATTTTACTGCTTACAATCCAATTAGTCTGTTACAGAGAAATGTTGGGGGGGGGGGGGGGTTTGAGGATAAGTTGATGGGTAAAGGAAAAAGGGAAGAGAAAAGTTAGGCGTTTGTCGATGTTTCTCGGACAAAGGGAAGACCTGAGATGATGGAAAGCGGATAAAAAGGATGCCATCGGGAGGGGGAGAAGAGGAAAGGAAGAGGATCAGAAAGAAAATTTTTGGATAAAACCCAGAATCCTAACCTCAAGGACTTCAATCCATCTTCAATTGGGCTTCAGTTTGAGTTGGAGTTGGAGCTAAATCATCAACGGTCTAGGCTTCACTCAAATCAAACTATCCTTTTGGGCTCAAGGCTGTTGAATTATCTTCAATTACAATTACGATACGTGTAATGAATGAAATAATTTCATTTATTTAATATGGATATATACATATAAATTAATTTTTTAAAAAATTAATTTCAAATGTTCAAAATTTATAATATATAAAAAATTAATATATATTAATTTATCATAAAAATAAACATTTTGACCAAAAAAAAAAGATATGTTGTCCTTTTAACTCATTTTTTATAGTAATATTTATATACTTATAAAATTATATCAAATAAGAAAAATTATGTTTTTTTTAGAAAAAAAATATATATTATTGAATGATGAATTAAATAATAAAAAGAGTATTAAATTACATTTATTTTGGTAATTTTGATAAAATTGTTGTACAAAATATAAAAAATATTAATAAATATGTGAAAAAAAATTTAAAAATATTATTTTTCATAAGAAGGAAATTGTAATAGTAATAAAATATATCTTGAAAAGAAATTTTAAAACTCAAAAAATAAAATGCTATAGAAACAGAATATACCTAGGACAAAGTTACAAACGAAAAAAAAAATGATATAATACATTACATTTATAACTTTAAATTTGTTAAAAAACTCTTGAGTGACAATTAAGATGGAATAGATGATTGTCAAATTAAATTTTTTAATTTTAAAAGGGATAGAATAAGTGATTAAGATGACATAAAATTTTTTGCATATATTTAAAATATAAATTTAATAATTAGAGTTGAGATGGATATGATTTTTTTTATGATCTTATTATTTAAAAATTTAATATGAAAAGTTATTTGAATTTTCAACGCTCTAAAGTAAATTTTTGAACAGATAATTTTTATTGATTTAAATTAAGATAAAAAAAGTTGTTGAAAATTTTGAATAATCTTAATCTTTCTAATTTTTAAACATGTTAAAAGATTTTAATAATTAAATAATTTCTTAAATAATGTTATTTGATAAATAACTAAAATTATTTATTGTGAAGATAAATCCATAATTTATATTTTTAATTTTAAAAAACATATCTCTAGATTGATTATATTTTCAATTATAATTTGAATAATTTTGATATTTGAATAAATTTAGAATTATCTCATTTGTAACTAAAAGAAGTTATCCTACTCTTTTAAAACATTATCTAGTGTCATTCAAAAAAATTGTTCACAAAAACGTCCATTTGTCGAATTTTATCGGATGTTTATATATGTTATAATATAATATACATATATATATATATATATATATGATTTGTTTTACCTTTTTTTATTGTTTTTATTTTATTTTCGTGAACATTTTGTCCGATAAGAGATTTTTATGCTTTATTCAATATATCCTTTTTCATTACTGCAAGTATATTTATTTATGTCGGATTTAATAAATTTATTAAAAATATTTTCCCATAATGTTTCAACGACAAAACCAATCCAAAATTGATGGTTAAAGTTGGAAATTAGTCTTCCTACTATATCAATTTTAAAGATTTAATCTTTTTATCATAATTTTAATAAATTTAATTTTATATATTTTTATTAGATTCGATAATTTATATGTTTTATCATATTTATTTCATGTTATATATAGAATACGAAAATTATTACATTAACATGAGAATATGAAACATATTTTTTAATTTTATCAAATTTATATATGATTTTTGTCGTGTTGTTTTTATTTCTTTATACTGTTTTTATGTCATCTATCATATCATGTCTAAATTTATCTGATGTAATTTTTATGAAGTATGAGATAGAAAATAATTGTTAACAGTGTGGATATCAATCCTTAAATTCAGTGCAGCATACCATATGGAGTTTTTCCTAACTGGAACCAATCTTAATCTTCAATCAAAAGGCACAGGCACCTACATCAGTATATCTCATCTTATTGTCTACAACCTAATTGGTTAGATTTTTATTTTTTTTCTTATAAAATAATTATTGGTTACATTTTTGGAATGGAACAGTTGGGTATACCAAAGCCAAGCTTAGTTCTCTATCTTATTCATTGAGTTATGCTTCTGTAGACACCCAATTGGGTCCGGCCCAGATCAATTGGGCCTGGCCCAAATGAGTAAGCTCAATTCAATTTTATCTTGTATTTTTTTTTCTTCTTTTCTTCTTCTTTTGTATTTTATGTATTGTATTATTTATTATTATTATGTATTAATATATGTATATATTTATTTATTTATTTTTTGTTAATATTTATGTGTATTTTATTATTTATGTATATATATATATTTTTTATCTTTTTTATTTAATTCATTTTTGTATTTTTACTTATCTAATTATATATCTGATATATTTTTTATTATTATTATTTTATTTATCCTATAATATCTGTTGATTTATCTTCTCTAATTATCTAGTTTTTTTTTATTATTATTTTGATTTTTATTTTGGAGGGTTAGGATTGAAAGTTGAAGAATCCCACTGGGAGTGAGAATTCAATCAGAAGAGTCCAGACTGGAGTCAAAGATTAAATTCCCGTCCAAAGGGGAATTGGGATTGATCAGAAACTCCTGATCAATCCCTATATAAAGCACCCCCTGGAACAGAATGAAACACACAGAAAACAGTAAACAAAGCTACTGATTTGAGAGAAAAAGAGGCGTATAGGAAGCTAGAAAAAGTTTAAGAGTGTTCTGAGAGTGAGAAAAATTTTTTAGAAATTTTTGGCGAAAATTTTTTCTGGAAATTTCTGGGAAATTTCCAGATTCCGACGAAAATTCCGGCGAAGTTTGAATTTTCCGGTGAAAATTTCGGCCAACCTTGAAGTTTCCGGCTACCTGCCCAGTTTTCGACGAAGAATCCTAGAAACCGGCGATCTTCCGGCCAACTTCCGACGAAATTTCTAGATTCCGGCGACATTTTCCAGAATTCGGCACCGGTGTTCTTTAGTTTTTAGAGAGAAGGGAGAGGAAAAGAGAAGAAGAGAGAGAGAGGGAGGAGCGGTCTGCCGAAAAAAATGAAGGGGATTGCCTTTTATACCCTCCCAAAACGACGTCGTTTTGGCCTTAAGTAACCAGAGGAT